ATTCAAGTATTATTATGAATTATTGAGTAATTTATTTCAAAATAACCTATCCATCATAAATTCCAACAAATCTCAGACTAATTCAAAATATCTCATATCATGACGATGAATAAATGACCACTTCACTATATGCATGAAAAAGGCGTACTTCATCATTATCGAACGGTGTTTTTCTAGTATATTCAGTAACTATAGGTAATTTGATCTATGAATGACAAAGGATCATGGAACCGGAATGTAAGAGAGGAGATCAAGTGAAACGACTTGATTCACTTTGTAAGTTAAGTAATCTAATAATGTGTAATATTCATGTGATCACAGGTACAATTTCGAGGGTACCAAATAAACAATAATACATAGTCTGATTAATTGGTGCAGTCACAGTACGTTTATTAACAAAGTGTCTTCATGACCTTGAGTAGTGATATGATTAGGAATACTGACAAGTATAATGTAAGAGAGATATATGCAAAAGTTCAAATAAAACAAAATTTCTAACAAAATTATTTCAAAACGAATCAAAATCAAACCTTTATGACTTAATAATAAATTGACAATATTTCCATGTCCATTTATCGTAGCTAAATGTAATGGTGTACGATTTTCCCGGTTGAACTGATTCAACAGAATAGCATTCGGTTTATATTGAAGAATAATTTTGCATGCATTAAGAAAGCCTACAAAAAATAGATAGGAAAGAAGAACATTTTGATAATATAAACATTGCTGAAGATAATAATAAAATAACATACCAAAGATAGTCAATAGTATTTCTGTTTACTGAATGACTAGCTAATTAAAAAACACACTCAGTGGTACAGAGGTTAGGCTTTCGGGCACAGTACCGAAGGTCCTGGGTTCAACTCCCGCGAGGTGCAGGAGTCGTGGGTGCGCACTGCTATTGAGTTTCATACCAGGACGAAGCGGATGTCCAGTGATTCCAGGTTTCTATTGGTGGTCTAACATTGATCGTTTCATGGTTTCACAAATGTTTAAAATACAATCATCTTGATTATTGTGCAATGAATAAATTTTAACAGTTGAAACCATATCTTGACACGAAGATAGCTTGATAGTGTACAATAGTGAATCAAAGATTTAAACGTCATCGGTCCAATCGTTAGTGAAATTGTGGATAAACATTAATGTTATGTGGTTTCAAACTATGACGGCGCATCACACCATTAGACTGATTCCATTTATTGTTGTATCAGTTTAATTTATTACCGAACAGAAGCTGCTTTTAATACTAAACTCTTGATGGGGATGTTAGATCTGCAGAACTCGATTGATAAATGCCTTATTTTGGATTTTATGTTTGCCAACATGGGCTGACCAGTTGACTTTGAGATTTCATTTCCCACCAGGAAAATCTATGGCTGTGATTGGCTACTGTATATTTTAGTGTGCTATTTTTGTGACTGTCGCAAGGACGTTTCTATGATGTATAAATAAATGAGATTTGTATGCTTTCTTTCTTTCTACGCTTATGAAGACTTCTGTTTTGCCGTTTTCGGATCAAGGTAGCCTACCTGGACGCTGGTTCATTGTCTCGTTCGCGTTTATCGACTAAGGTGAACCCGTAATAGTTTCAAGCATACCTAGTGACGAAGCTAACAAGTTCTTCGTCATGTATTTTACAAACACACTCATCACTGATTTCTTTCTAATTACATCAACCTTATGCAAAGTATTTCATTTGTTTCCATTAAAAACGTAAAACCTTAAAAGATCTATTGACTGATAAATTTCTCAATGAGTATAGTCTAGGAAGAATTTCACCAAAGGGCAGGTTTCCACTCGAGACCAGTCTAGGGAAGAACTCATAGATACAGAGAAGAATTTTTGTTCAGTGAAGAATTACTGTTCACCCAAAAAAAGTCTTTGTAAATGAATATTTTAATGGAAAAGCAAACTATGGTATTGCAAAGTTTAGAGACATTTTATGCAATGAATAAATCTATTAAAGTCTTCTGAAGGTTAATCTGCTAGTAAAGGAAGAAAGGATAAAAATTTTCGCCTATGAATATGGATCATTCTTTTTGGCCAACTGTTTAAAGGACACAAATAGACTTTTCACCATTCCCACACTAATCTTGGTTGGAGTACTTATTTAGGTTTAGAACAAACGGTTCAGAATTACAGTTTTCATGGCAAACTGACATTAGCTATTATGTATTAATGCTCTGTTTTTAAATGAATTCAGCATTGAAAAACCATTTGACGTTATTTGACTTATTCATCCGTAAAAGATGTTTTTCTTATTTTAAAACGCCTTCAAACAAATAGATTCAAGCATCAGTGTGAATACTCCATATACCTAATAAGCTTTTTTGCCTATTCGATGTTTACATCAGTCCAATTGGTTCAGTTTTTATCTTTGGTCATTCAAAGCATTTAGACAGTTCCTTTGCTACAATAATCTTCAATTTCAATATTTTCTACGTAATTTTTTAACCTAAAGTGACATTATTACCATTTTGTACTCACGAAAGTAACGACCATTACTAATCAGTAAGTCATGTATTGTAAAAGAGAAATGAACTTAAACTCTATTAGTCATTTTCATAAAATCAAATAAAATGTTTGCTTTATTTAGGAAACAGTAATATAAATTCCATTATATTGTGATACTTCTTATTCATTGTGTTTTACGATACACTCCTATCAAATCAAACCAATGCATCACGATTGCAACATTCACTATTTTCATAAAAATACTATATTTTGCATAATATTTTATTGCTGTACATTTAAAACTTACCTTTCATTGCAGCATGATGAAGTATATTTTGACCTTCAAAATCTACTTTTGATCCATACTCACTATGTGATAAATACTACAATAAATAGTGTATGAAAATTAATTTTAAATATTTATATTTATATTTGGACAATAAACAAAAGCTTTAGTGTTTGGATATTCATCAAATATCCTACGAAGAATCATTATATAAGTAAGTATAATTTCTATTGGTCGATTCCTATAGGTCAATTTTACGATCGTCCTTACTGTCCAATGTCACTTCAAATGTTTTTTCCTATTGGTCGCCTTAACTGTCAATGTCACAGACTTCGATGCTGTTCCTATTCAACCTAAATGTATAAATACGCATTATCTGTAACGTTTAATGACCCGGATCTCTAGTTCAGGATCTTGATTCTCTTCTGGACTCGGACCTCGTACTTTCTGAATGCTTGTAGAATACAGGTTCTACTTCATATCAAGTCTTCTTCTTTCACTTAGTGGGGGGTTAGGACAATCGGATTAGAGTAGCATATCGTGTCGCCGGATCCTCAATCCTCGCTCTCGTTTCCCGACTAGGTAAACTCGTAATAGTTTCAAGCATATAAAAGTGACATGTTGACGTGAATGCGTAACACTTGGTAAAGTTATTCACAAATTAGACAATGAATAGTAGACAGCGGTTTCGACTTTATAATGATAGTAATATTTTAAAATGTTATTTTTAATAACTGTTATACAGAGAAGACATATCATTGTTATATCTATAGAACATGAACTCTGAACAATGTATCAAGCATTTGTAATAGTATCTTGAGTCGTTTCAGATCAGCATTCGATCTAGTTGCATTTTAAAGATGTCTCTAAAATCAGACCTTCAGATCCAGTTTGTGTTGAAAAAAACCATATAAACTCTACTCTGGAAGTTAGAAGGTCTTGATTTAAAAGAATTATGACGTCTCATGATGAAAGCCGAGTTCCTTCGGAAGTCATGAGGCTGATGCCTCTTCTGGAAACCATAACCCTTCTACATTGTGGGCAGCCAGGAAGTAACATCCTCCCTCATACCCATAAAAGCATATGAGACCAGATTGGTCACAATCAAATCCTTTCTACGCCTCATAATATCTCTCTTATCTCTTTGACCAACTCTTCATTCAATCTTTTGTCACCTCGCGCCGCTAAAGCGAACGGTTTGAGCTCACGAAACATTATTCCTGGTCTGAATGGTATGGCTCAAAACCTTTTGCAATGGCGTAGGTGCATTCATTCTTTGTGTTCTCTCAAGTCCTAACCTTCTGAATTCCTCATCACCTTCATCTTTTTTTTTAAGTTTATTTTACAATATTCTACTTCGAACCCTAAAATTTCCGATCACTGTTAACATTGCTACTATCTCTACTACTATGGGATTCGAACTGACATTTGCATCTCTGTGCTGATGTGGTATGGCAACTGGAACTGATGTACGTAGGTACGAAGTTCTACGTTACTGTTGACTGGTTGTGTTGAAACAGGATGTTAAATAGTTAAAACATTAGCTACAGTTCTTAGATTTCTGTTATTATAAGTTTCTATTCAAGTATTTCACTTTTAAACATTCATCAGATTCTGACGTTTCAAATTGGAACAAAGTGGTACAGAGACTACGTGTTCATTATTTCCCCGAATCTTTGAAGAAATCTTTTGACATCCGATTATAAACTGTTAAGTTTTGTTTCTCTAAAAGTCTGTTATCTCTAAATCATAATACATAGTGCTAACTTCTTGTTCACAGTTGATAGTTCTCTACTAACTTGTAATCAGAAAAACCTAGGTTTTCCAAATGCCATTTATTCTTTGTATCCTTTCGAACTTTTATTGACTGATTTCTTAACTGAAGTGAGATGTTTGACGCTGCATTTACCTAACTTTTATAAAAATTTAAAGCTCTTTGATTTTTCAGTACATTTAATGAGTAAAGCGAACAAATTTTGGAAATCAGAGCTTAAGTAGTATATATGATGATGATGAAAGTATAATATAAATGAATAATGAAGATTGCATTTTCTAGACCAATATTAATTACATTGAAAAAATAGTTACATGTGAGACATAGATGTTGTATCCGACCACCACTGACGGTAGTTTATAATCCATACTGAATACCCTGATAAACTAGATTTAATAAATGCTTAAATTTTTTTAATAAAATATTCAACTAGCAGCTAAAAATGAGATACATTTCATCAAACTTTAATGACCAGTATTGGTGTTAAGTATGAAACTAGGATCTAATTTTCCACCTTTAATCCACAAATAAAAACGAGAGTTTAGTGAAATAAGCGAAAAGATTAGAAAAAAATTAGTCCCATTCAAATTCACATAACTGTCTGAAAGAACAGTAGCTATCACTTAACGAGAAAGACAGTGAATATGTTGTTTTGGATTCGGAAAGTCGTAATAGTTTAATTAACATAATAATTCGTCATGATCTCGAAAGGAATTCAACTCACTGGTTGTATCATCTCTCATTATCCGATATTATGGTATTTCATTTCATAAACAGAATAAAAAATATCACAAATGATACGACTAACCAGCCTAATTGTTGCATTTATCAATTTACAAACTATAAAGTTTAATTTTAAGGTCATCTTCATTCAATAATCATGTTACATTAATCAAAAGTAAATCATTGATACTAACTAATCAAAGCTTTCATGAAACACATTGAAGTAGTTTACATATTTGAATTTCCATTAAAATAGACAAAATAATAATAATTTTCACTAAATTGGATAACTCACTTCTAAACATTTTAAATGATCATCTTTTAATAAAGTATGATGTATCAAATGATAACCACTACTATCATAAATCCATTGTTTCTCTGGAATACTACGAATTTTAGCTGCCTGTAATTGAATTAGTTAAAACAAATAATTAATCAATTAAAGTTTTTTAGCCATTCAGATATTTATCTGATTCTCTAGATAATTATTCTTACGATAAATTTGATTTATCTTTAAAATAAAAAACTACTGCTGCATTAAAACAGTAAACTACGGGAGAGAGAGAGAGAAAATGAACTTACTTTTAACAAGATTATAAGGTTTGCCAATCGATCCGATTCACAAGCCCACATAACTGGTGTCAGACCATATTCATCACGAGCAGTAAGATCAGAACCTTGTAGTATCAATGTCTGTAATGCAGTAGAAAATACTGTTATTACTACTGGGATTACAAAATGAAAATGTCAAAAATGTTAGTTATGTGTTTGATAGTACTTTTTTGATAACAAACTGAACAATTATCATAATAATTTTTTTGCGCATTTAAATCATCAACCAATCATTGTTAGATCACCATTAGAAACCTGGAAGTACTGGACGGCCGTCTCGTCCTGGTGTGGGACTCATCAGCAATGCACATCAACGACTACTGCTACTCGCGGGATTCGAACCTAGGACCTTTTATCATACGCGAACACCTAACCATCGGACCACTGGGCCGGCATCCAACGGTGTTAATGTCTAACTCTGACCAATCTAGAGATTTCGCGCGACTTCACCCATTTGGCTTCGATAGTTACTGCCTTTACCTAACAGGGTTGATCTCCACTGGTCACATATCACTAGAACTACGAAAATTTCCTCATCGTCGGATTCTGGCCCAGTGGTCCAGAGTTTAGGCGTTCACGCTCAGGACTGAAGATCCTGGGTTCGAATTCTGCGAGGTGTAGTAGTGGTATGTGCGCATTACTGATGAGTCCCACGCTAGGAAGAAACGGCCGTCCAGTGCTTCCAGGTTTATAATGGTGGTCTAACAATGATTGATTGATGATTTCAATGTGCGAAGAACACTAATCTCCGTATCTGTAATTGAAAAATAATTTTTTTTCTTGATCTAAAAAAACAAAAGTTGATCAGGTCGTATTAGATCAAAGCTTAATTACTGGTTAAACATGTTAAAATAGTATACATATTGAGGAGAGATTTGTTTTTCAAGTTGTAATGAAAATTCAGAATACCTTCCGTTTGAGCTATTCATCAAAAGTGTTGTTCAAAAATAATGTATTAGGAGCACTCAGATTCTAACTGTTGCTTCAAAAGACTGGAACATATCAATTTGTAAGGCATACTACTAAATTGCTACTGTTATTTTTGCTCCATATAACATAAAACATCCCTTAATATTGATAAAAAATTTATCTGACATCTTCGGTCGAACAATGGTCACTGTAAGTGTGATTTGTTGAACTACTAGAATGAGCTTCTGCCATTTTTGAAGTTATTGAAATTCTAAGGATAAAGGAGTTCCCCTATGAATTGAATCCAATTCAGAATGTTAGGAAAAATCCATTTTTATTCACATTTATTATATTTTTACTAGCAGAATCAAAAAATATTGTTGCTTAGTCAAAAAAAGTAAATTAACCGTTAAAATACTAGTGATTTTTAATAATGTACAGCGAACATATTGATCTGTAAATAGGTAACATAAATTTCCTATGCTGTCTACAAATTTTTCTCTTTGTTCGGTATATCACAAATTTTGATACCGAAGTCTACAAGAGATAATTACTACACTATCATTAACAAAACAAAATGGTGTTAAGCAACAGAAGATATGTTATAATACCATGGACAAATTTGATATGATATCTAGTCTGAAAAATTGACGGACGACTTCCATCGTTCAGCCGCAAAACAGAACCATCAGTGAGATTACTACATAATGATATATCTTGGTCTAATTCTTTACTTCTGGTTCATCAAACATTTCATGTCCAAATAGATTTTATCCATTTAATACAGTTCATAAAAAAACCTAAGGTTTCATTGTATTGTATTCGATAAATGTGAATAAAGACCTTTGTCAGTGGTATGTTCCATCAAAGTAATGAACTATTGAGAATCACAATTAACTAGAATTCAACTAGTGGTTTGTGATCAAAATACAACTGGACTAATGAGTAGAACATTGAACAGAAAATAAAACAAGCTAAATCTTTCAGTAGGCATTTTCAACAGTCAAGTAATATTTTTAAGTTAGCAGTAGTTATGCTCACTTAAATAGCTCAATATTTACCATATTGAATTTCGAATAATTTATGACTACTATAGCGAACAGATTGTGTACTTGCTTTTATCGTGAATGTTAGTAAACACATTGTATTTAAATCGATATTGATTTTCTCTAAACTTTCTTTGAATTGCATCATTCACTAGAAATAATATATTAGTTTGATTTTTATACCGAAATTGAAATCATTAATTTTTAAAAGTGATGCTGTGACTATAGTAGTCATTTTGAAACTAAATAACCTTGTAAATATATAACTAACTTTCGGTTAAGGTTAATCATTTCGGTAACCTAAAATTAAGATGAACAATAAAACTATTGACTAAGGATGACATAAATCAATTTTGATATGGTGTGTTATTATGAAGTGCTTCACGTAACTAAAGAAAATATCAATCATATAAATGGCATAGTAAACTATTAATGTGGTACTTTAAAGAATAGTTCAAGATTGCTTTAATAAGTTTGATTTCTGAGGAGACAAATACATATATAAACCTTTTCACGAAGTAAATTTGTTTAAGTCAATAAGAATTAGCTGAAACAATGCTACTTTGCTTTATTTAAAATGTATTTTTACAGCAAACAATGTTTCAAAGTAATACACTTAAAAATTAAAAAGATTTCGATTTTTGACTAAGGATAAAATATGTTTTCTTCATTAAACTTATTGCTAAAATTGATTTCTTAGCTGTGAATGCTTCGTAAACATCGTTTTACATATGGCTTTTGTATAGTTAGGAGCAGTCGGTATGATCTAGGTTTCTTTTTCTCTACAGTCGCCATTGATAAAAGGAAGGTCCGTCTGCGATCTTAAATAAACTGGTGGCTTCCCTTAATTTCCTGTTACCGAAGGTTTTAGGGAATATCAAGACTATCGAATTGTAGTAAGTGATCATAAGTGTTGGCAGTGAAATTCTTTTTTGAGAATACATCAAGTTAGTTGCATGCAATAAACAATATGTCATATATGTGTATCAGTTCAAGTGGCTTCATAACATCCACTCAATGAGATGAAATTATTAAGACCGATTCCATAGTAGTAGAATCACTGAAAATTTTAAATGTAGCAAAGTTTAGGTATAGACTATGTGATTCAATGTTAAAAGATTTCATAGAAATTAGCATCTAAGGAAAGATAGGAAGTAAATGTACCCATACAGTTGTGAAGGACTCTGAGCTACAACTTGGACAACCACTGATAGTAAAAACAACATGAACTCTATCCAGGTAGTCTTCTCTTACCTACATGGATCAATCCAAAAGTCAATAACTCCCAAATAATTACTGCATAAATAGCATCGCCCGTTGAGGCAGGCATTGGGTTTGCATGCATGATACCTTTTATACCCATATTAGCCGATGAAGATCCAATTCTTTATACTTAGTACCTTGAGTTTATCCACATTCAAGCTTGGGACCATTCTGATTTACCCAGGTTAGCTCTTCACTAGGTCTGGCTAAGCTTAGGATGATTGTTGAAATTTGTGTTTCTGAAACTACATTTTTCAAAATTATTCACCTATGGTTATTCAAAACGAATCTCAGTATTTTTTTCGTAGGCTGAGTTGAGCTGATATTGAGATATCAGATGGGTATACGTCTAGTCCTCAGATCCCAGTTAATTTTTCAGTTAGTCTAGACTCTAAAGCCGAATAATCATTTTTAAATACCTCAGTAGTTAAACCAATGGGTCCCCATAGTCTCCCGAGCTTTAGATTATCTATGAATTTTTCAAACTCTTTGTGATTCGGAAGCGCATACCGATATTCAATTTAGACCACAAAAAGAGCCCTCGTTCACCACTCATTAGCCAGTCATTGTTAATATCTCATTCCGACTTGGGATGAGTTGCAGCCCTGGAAACTGGTAAGCTTTGTCTCAGACAGTAAAGCAGCGCAATTCGCGTTCAAATCCAGCAGTTAGTTTTGATTCTTTAAGGATTCCATTTACAGTTTATTGAAGACAGCCAACTTACACAAAATCTATCTCTAAAGTTTTCTAACTGCTTATCAGTGTAAGCGGCATATCAGCTGTCAAATCCATTTTTCAACTCTCCAGCTTGAGCCTGATGAATAGATGAATTGAGGATAAGATAAATTTCCTATTAGCCATCACTCTAATAAAACAATTTTTTCTATTTCGCTTTCTATAGAGCAGTTAACTGTTTGTCTAACTGTCAAAAAAAATGCATGCACACCTCTTGAAAAGATATACCTGTCCACTTGAATGCCTTACTCTCACCTTTAAGTTCTTCGCCTTACAGAAGCCATTATACACCTACTTATATAAATATGGGAAAATACATTTTTGTGTGGGAAATATCATTAGTGTTTCAGTAGTTTCAACATCATAAACACAATAGTACATTCACTGAAGATTATGTTACTAAAATCGAGATTGTTTTGCTCTGTTTATACAAACTGTGCATTGTAATCTAGATAAAATGATATACATAATTCATCTTCATATAAAGTATCAGTATTCATTATCATTCATCAGAAATTTGTGTTCGCACCCAAAAAACAGCCAATAGCAAAGAATCCCACTTTCAGATTGCTGAATTGGAGCCATTTCAGTCTCAATTCCATTGCATTGTACAGTTTATAACATTCGCAATTGTTCGCATTTATCTCAGATGCTGCTAAATAATGCTATTTAAATAAAAGACCCTCCAAAATATAAATTCACACACGTTTTACAGCAAGCGACGTTTATCGCTCGTTGAAAAGAGAGTAGTGTATACTAACATAACATAAGTTCATTCATAACATACTTGTACACATGTCTGTGAGCCCCAATAAGCGGCATAGTGCAGGCTTGTTTTTGTTCCACTTCTTATAAAATTCCTGCTTAATTCATTTTGCTTTAGTTTAAACACAAAGTCGTCAATTTCTTTGGCTAATTAAACGAAATTAAATATAGAAAATGAGTTCACGATTGCGTAAGAATACGTGAAAACAAACATATTAAACAAATGTCATGGTGAAGGTTATGCCAACAAGAAAGGTGCAATAAGAGATAGGTTACTTTACAGCTTATAAGTAGTGTCCGGTTACATCATCTTTAGTATAACATAGAATAACTTCATAATTCAAAAATTTACCAAATATTTTGTAATCCAAATACCCTTTTGATAAATTGAACTTAATCAGTGTTTTATGCTTGACAAACATTCTTATGAAAATTTGTGTGAGAGATCACAAAATTACCAAGTTTCTCAAGCGCCACAACCAGTATTACTAAATCTTTCAACTGAAAAGCTTAGATTTCAAATAATTTGGCAATAACTGAATGGCAGGTTAACACACCAGTTGATAGACACTTTGTGTTGACCTTAATTTTGAGATCAGTGATATTCATAAATCTTCAGCAGTTGATGAATTTTTCAGTGACTACGGTGACAGATTTATAGCTTGTTGACTGCTTGATTGATACATATCATGTTTAAAACAGTATAGATTAATGCTGAATGACTGAAGTTAACATAAAAAGTCATACGTTTTAATATACAAACGTAGAGACTTCTCTTTTATGGAGCAGAAACTTGGAGAGCCGTTGAAACTATTATTCAAAAAAAGATACTTGTGTTTATAAAATTTTCTACGAAAGATACTGCGGAATCGTTGACCGGACACCGTCAGCAATAACCCATTTTAGGTAAGAAAACACTAGCTTCTAGCTGAGGGATATATTAGGAAAGAGTATTAGAAGCGAATAGGAAATACATAGTGAAAATCACCGACATTGGTCACAAGACAAGCCTTAACTTGAAGTTCTCGAAGAAAAATAAAATTAAGAAGGTCAAAGATATCACTTCCGGAAACTGTAAGCAGATGTGAAACGAAAGAATAACACTTGGCAGTCAGTGAAAAAGAAAGCCCAGTAAAGATATTGTTCCAGAATGCTAGTTGTCAGCTTATTCTTCCTGAGGGGTAACTGACAGATAACGATGCAAATGAAATTGTACAACAGCTTAATCCGGCATTATTTTAGGGGTTTTACCCGTAGATACGTAAAAATCTCAAATTTCTCAGGCTTTCAAGTTACTTGCAGTTATCTTAAAACGTTCATTCAATCATAGTTAAAACGTTCGGAAAACCTAGTTGAATGACTGCTTGTAAATTATTATCTGTAGCTTGGAATAAACAACAATCTAATTAATTGTTTCATTGTTACTGGAGACAGCATAATAAATATTATTTGTTATATGATTCGCTTCTGGCAAAAGTGATGGTCCTTCTGAGGTTACAGTATTGAATTAGTTCAAATATCAAATATCCACTTACTGGCCGCACACATAATTTAAGACCATGAAAGACAAAACGAGGCATTTTCATAAAGTTTTAATGACCATATAGTTTTATATGAAATGACAATAAATTGATACAACACTGAAGTAGAACCATATATCGCCTTTTTAAAATGTTTAGGAATTATATGTAGCTGTAATAAGATATGTGCAATCATTTGTTTTATGATTATTTACTGAAGCTAGCTAAACCAAGTAAGTGGTCGTAAACTAAGATTTTTTGTTATTATTACTCTAATTATTAATAATCCCTAGTTCATACAAGTTATCTATATCATCTGAGTTTGTGATCAAACATAACTTGAAATTAAGCAAACTTTATTCCCAATTCGAACACGTTACGTTTTACAATATGCTAGATCTACAAATACATATAAACTCAAGTTCAGATATCTAAAAAAATGAAGAAATTCAAGATATTACAGTAAATACTAAATGAAATTACTCATGTTTACGATAATCAGAGTTTCCTACTAATCACCTTCTAGATCAAGTTAACGATAACGATACCATATCAGTCGGAATTGAGCTGTTTTAGCAACACTCTTTATGAACATGTTAGAGGTATATTAGCTCCATATTTATACAGTTTGGACAGTGACTCACAATGAGGGGTTAAAAACGATGTAGACGAAAAAATCATTTGATTTTGAATGTCAGTGCAAAATGTCAGGTTGAAATTCATACAAATCAGCAATCAGCGGCTTAGTTTATTTTACAAACTATTACTTTTTCAACTGATTATGGAAATTAGCATTTTATGCAGCTAAAAACTAATTCTTGCATAAATGAAAGCAACTGGTTTCTCAACCGGAGAAAATTCTTGCCTACATCAGTAGATGATTCAACAATATTATACTATTGCCTGTAAATTTTAGGCACGACAAATTTTTCTGGTTCAAAAGTTGTTCGTTTCAAGTCAAACGTTTTACCGTCTATTTGTTTTAAAGTTTGTTTGGTTACGGCTCAAGACTAAACTTTGGTAATTATATGAGTCTCTCAGAAAGCTCTAAGATAGTCTATCATAAATCACCAATTAAAAATTAAACGCAAACTTTATGGATTATTAATCAACTATCAGAATTTAAAACCAAGTCTAAATAACACATGGTCATCCATAAATATCCTGAATCCGTAGTGAGGTGGATTTAATGAATACAGAAGCGAAAAAATTAACACATTACCTTGTAACTTTTCAATATTTTTTCCATTTGGATCATCTGGCAAGAGACCTGTATAAAAATGTTCTTGTGGGAGGTATAACGAACAAACGTCTAAGTAGTATGTTAAAAATAAATACTCGACACCAACCTTCTGGGATATGTGGAGCATCTATGTCAGAGCATGGCGTTGAGATATCCCTTTTGCACTTTACGGGCCTGTTATTTGTCTAAAATAATTATATAATTATCAACTGGTAAGGGTATTCGTACACATTTTAGGCATTTTTTAGCCTGTAGAATTACATAATTGATTGCATCCCTCAATTCAGCAAAAATAGAGTCACTTGGCAAAGTAGAACTAAAATATTTAAGCTGTTGTATGTTATTTTTAAAGCTGTTTTCTAGCTTTGAGATGTCATTCATTCGTAAATTATTTTTGTTAGTAAATTAAATTCAATACGATTGAGGATATGTTCGCCGTCTAGAGTGCGTCATTTTTGACTACAAGGGAATTTACATAAAACGATTCGGTGACTACAAAGTCCTGTACTGAGATAAGATGACAAAGGCTGAAGGAAAAGTAGAAATAAGGGAATTTACTGATAAATTACACTGATTAAAGTTACATAATAAAAAAAGGGTTTGGATGATAAATAAAGCACGAGGAAAAAAAGCTTCACTGCTGTAAGAATAACAGGGTGAGTGTATTAGACATTTAGGAACATAAATTTTATTGATCAATAAATCAGTAGGATTCAGTAGAATGTGTTCATTTACTAAATATATATGAGTCGTTTTCATTTAAGAAGCATTTTATAGAAAATTCTTTATATCCAACGACAAAATGTATAGGGATTATGAAACTATTTTCAGTTTGGAACATCTGAATTGGTGGTCCACGCGAACACATCCAAACACCAAATAAGAACACTGAAAAACCTTCAACCTACAGATATAAACAAATGTCTTTCTTACAACATCACATAGGCAGCTCTCTCAGGACGCTACATGTTTATCACGAGGCAGTGTAAATCAACTGATTACTTTGAGCTTCATTATTGTTTTTGTCGGAACGTTTTTTGGTATTTGACCAAGCATGGTACTCTAGCCACTCGACTGCACCATTTTCAGTCAGTTGACAGTTATTTATGAATTTCTACGTTCAGTAATTTGTATGGGTGCATTTAACTAAGAGACTGTGGATACTAGCAGCTATTATATCATCATACTGAAGATGAGTTACTTGCAGTGTGGAGAATAATAATAAGAAAATAGCAGAACAACCTCATCATCATTAGTGGAGATATTTGATATGTGCCTTTATTCCCCACGATCCAGAGGTTTGGTTCGCGGCACTGGAGGCTCAGTTCGAGATCTGCCGCACTAAGAACCAGTGGCAAATGTAGGCCTACGCCCTATAATCTCTACCTTGGGATCATATAACCGCTCTCTGTGAGGTGGTCCTCGATTCCGAAATATCGGACGTCTACAATCGTCTCCAGCAGACGATTCTCCGACATTTCCTCCTACCGAGGGAGAAACGATTGTGGACACTGTT